GGAGTCTTTTTGAATGTTAATTACTCAACAATTTTAAGTATAGGCGCCCTGGCGCTCTCGCCGAGGCGCCGGCTACATTTTCATTGAAAACGAGGCTCACGCTCGAGCAGTTTGGGGGACCGCCCAAACCGGCCCCCCAACAACAACAACGCTCCCGCTCGAGACTTCCTCCTTTTTTACTCAGGGCTGGTGTTGTTGCTCGCCGCCGAAAGCCGCCATCCTAACAAAACCAGCGCTTCCGCTCGAGACCTTCTCCCGTTTTACCTTGGACTGGCGCGCTAGTCTTTCTCTCATCGGCGCCGCCCCCAGCAAAAGCAACGCTCCCGCTCGAGGCTTCCTCCCTTTTTTACTCAAGGCGGTGCTCCTCCTCGCCGCCGAAAACCGCCGCCCCGACAAAACCAGCGCTCCCGTCCGAGACTTCCTGCCGTTTTACGCTGGACTGGCGCCCAACTCTTTTTTGAATTGGCGCCGCTCCCAGCAAGAACAACGCTCCCGCTCGAGATTTCCTCCCTTTTTCCTGAAGACGGTGTTGTTCCTCGCCGCCGACAACCCCCGTCCCGACAAAACCACGGGTCCCGCTCGATGCTTCCCCCCTTCTTACTCAAGGCGGTGTTCCTCCTCGCCGCCGAAAACCGCCGCCCCGACAAAACCAGCGATCCCGCCGGAGACTTCATTCCGTTTTACGCTGCGCTGGATTGGCGCCTTACTCTCTTTTGAATTGGCGTCGCTCCCAGCAAGAACAATGTTCCCGCTCGAGATTTCCTCTTTTTTTCCTCGGGGCGGTGCTGTTCCTCACCCCCGACAGCCCCCGTCCCGACAAAACCACGGCTCCCGCTTGATGCTTCCTCCTTTCTTACTCAAGGCGGTGTTCCTCCTCGCCGCCGAAAGCCGCCGTCCCAACAAAACCAGCGTTCCCGCCCGAGACTTCGTTTTGTTTTACGCTGGACTAGCGCCCTACTCTCTTCAGCATTGGCGCCGCTCCCAGCAACAACAGCAGCCCTGCTCGAGACTTCCTCCCTTTTTATTCAGGGCCAGGTCCTTGCCTCACCGCCGACAGCCACCATCCCCACCAAGGCAATCCTGTCGTTCGATATTTCCTTGTGCTTTACCCTTCGCTGGGGTTTCACTGGCGGTCTCGCATCGGCGCAGCAAGGCGCGGGCATGTGTTTTCGAGGCGGGATATGTTGAAATTCCTCGGAGGAGGTGTTTGCAAGACCTCATTGGGCGGGAGATCTGGGAATGGGAATAACGGACCCCGCTACAGAACAAGAATCCCCCATGATGTGGATGGTTACCGTGATGGTCGCATGCTGCGTGTGGAAACATCGCGCATGAGGGTAAACTGATTGTTGTTGTTGCTGCTGCCATTTTCGGCCTCTGGTAGTCTTGCCGGGCACAAGAGGTCGTCCAAGAAATGGTCCAGGACGAGAAGCTGGCCCCTGGGAGGAGGCCCAGACCTCCAGGGGTCCGCGCTGCGCCACGGAGCACGAGGCCGGAGTTCTGGTTCTGCTGGGCGTTGTCGCTGGCTCCTTTGCGGCAGCTGCCTGCCCCTCGCCGAGAGCGTCCTGGGTGTGCCCGAATCGCCTCGACAGGCCGCCTGGCGGCCGGAGCTGTGGCGCGCAAGAGGCCACGGGGGTCAGTTCTATTTACTTTCTTGTGTTTCTCTGGACATGTATTTCTATTGTGTTTGTGCTTGAATCGTTTGACTCTATCTTTTACAGTAGAACCGTCAATCCAGTGTACCAACATATATATATATATATATATATATAGATACATATATCTATCTGTTTATATACACTCGATTATTCTTCTGATTTTCTGCACATAAGAAACGCGATTTAAGGACTGGCCCATGGGGGGAGCGCCCGGGCATCCCGCGTGCCGACCTCGCTCGTCCCCGCAGCCTGGGCGCCGCAGTGCTCTTCCTGAGGCCTCGGGGAGGGCCTGGGCGGCGATGCCCATCGGTTTCGACAGCGGTCCCGGCATCGAGGGGAGTCCACGAAGCATGGTGCAATCTCGAGGGAGGTCGTCTCGAGGGCGCCCGCGAGGGCGCGAAGGTATTCGCGCTTCGCGCTTCGCGGTCCTCGTTCCTTCTCCCCCTCCTCCTCGTCCTCCTTTTCGCCCTTTGGGGGGGGCGACGCGAGAGCGCGAAGTGATTCGCGCTTCGCGCTTCGCGCAGCGCGAAGCGCGAAGTTGGGAGCCCTTATTGTCTAGGCCTTCTAGATGGGGTCAGAGTAGATGGGGTCAGAGGAGATTGGGGGGGAGGTGAGAGGGGGCGGGCCTTCCCAGAGGGCGGCGGGGCTTCTCAGGACCCCCCGCGCCTTCTGAGCAGTGCTCTCTGTCTTCGGAGAGGGCTTAGAAGACGTCTCAGGAGGCGCCAGTTCTTTCGAGAAGCCCCGCCGCCTTTGGAGAGAGCCTGCCCCTTCTCACTCCTCCCCGGGCGTGGGGGAACGAACCGTCGACCCCCAGTCGCCCGTTGCTGCCGATAGCTGCTGGGGTGCCCCACGCCACCCCGGAGCGAGCGGGTTTCGCTCTCGGGGGCCCATCGGGACGCATCGCCGATTCCAGTTCAATGGCCCCCCTCCCCCTGCCCTGACGCCCCTTCCCAGCATGCCGACCGATGAGCCGCCCTCCGCCCCGCCCCCCCTCGCGCCCCGTTGCCGCGGACCGACCTTCTCCCCTCCCCTCTCCCGGGCCTGCCGTACCTGTCAGGAAGCTGCGGAGTGGATGATAAGATATCGATTGCAATGTTTGTGCTGGTCGCCAGCTCTTCCCGTCGAGCCACCCCCCCTCGAGGACCGGGCGGGGCTGCGCCGGCGGAGGACCCGCCGACGACGACCGCGACGGCGACGGCGGCGGCGGCGTCTCGACGCCCCGTCGCAGCGACGACGGCGGCGGCGGCGACGGCCTGCGGCTCGTGCTTCCTCTGCGCCCGTCAGAGGGAGGGCCTGGCGTCAGCGCCCAGCCCCCCGGGGGTCTCTCAGGGGCAGCGTTCGGGGGTGATAGGCTCATGGGGGGAGACGCATCACCCCCGAATCGCCCAGTCAGGGCTCGTTTCGATTCCTCCGATCCGATTCGATTCGATTTCGATGGCTTCCGATTCCGATTCGATTCGACTTCGGATTCCGATCTAGGATCCGCTTTCTCAATGGAGGCCAACCAGCCCACCGATTTCCGCCGATGCGACTTCTCCCGGCTCGGCTGCCGATTCCGGCCGATCCGATGAATCTCGCTCGCCGATCCGACTTATCGACTCGATTCTGGGCCGTCCTGCCCATGCCTCGCCGAGGGGGGTCCGCTGGCCCGCCTCCGCCCAGCAGCTCGTGGCTGCGCCATCGGGGGCCCCTCGCCGATCCATCGGCGATGCGTCGCCCGTTCCATGTCGACGTCTTGCCCCGGGAGCCCGTTGCCCCCTGCCGTCTCTCTTCGTCCGAGGATAACGAGGAGGAGGATAACGAGGAGGAGGAGGAGGAGAAGGAGGAGGAGGAGGAGAAGGATGATGATGATGATGATGATGATGATGATGATGATGATGATGATGATGATGATGATGATGATGAGGATGAACGGGATAAGGACGAGTATCGGTGAGCGGTGGGATCGGGGTCAGCGCCTGCCTCTCTCTGCGGGCCTCTGGCGGGCTCGCCTCGTTGCCGCGGCCGTGCTCTCGTCGAGGTGCTGGTCGGATCGCGCTCCTGGGTAGGTCCGAAGGCCAGCTTTCCGAGGGATGGATGTGATGGAGGAGGGAGGAGAAGAACGAGGAGGAGGAGGAGGAGGCTGAGGATGAGGATGAGGACGAGGGGGAGGATGAGGATGAGGATGAGGATAAGGATGAGGAGGAGCGGGATGATGATGATGATGCTGATGATGATGATGATGATGATGATGATGATGATGCTGATGATACTGCTGCTGCTGCTGATGATGATGATGATGATGATGATGATTATGCTGCTGCTGCTGATGATGATGATGCTAATGATGATGATGATGATGAGGATGAAGAAGAATATTAATAATACTAATAAGAATAATAATAATAATAATATTAAGAAGAAGAATAACAATAATAGTTATAATACTAATAATAATGATAATAATAATATTTAGAAGAAGAATCATAATAATAAGAAGACGATGATGAAGACTAAGCATAATAATAATAAGAATATTAATAATAATAGTAATAATAAGCATCAGAATAATAAGACTAATAATATTAAGAGGGATAATAATATTAATAATAATAATAATATTAATAATAATAATAACAAAAATGATAGCAATAACAATAATAATAATTATAATAATAATAATCATCATAATCATACTAATAATCATGTTAATAATACGAAAAAGAAGAAGAAGAGGAGGAGGAGGAGGAGGAGGAGGAGGACGAGGAGGAGGAGGAAGAGGGGGGAGGGATCAGAAGGGAGAATAAGGCGAAGGATGGAGGGGAGGCCCCGAAACACCAGCCTCGAATTCACAGTTGGCAGGAAACACAGCTAGACTCTTAGCCGCGCGCCTTTGGGCTTGTCAGTGCCGTAGATCTGAGCCGACTACTTAGTCTCCCAGGTGCCGGGGCAGGAAGGAGGAGAGGAGTCGGAGGTCTACGAGGAGGATATCCTCCCACATCCTCCTCCCAGCCGTTCGCCGTCACAGTCCTTGTCCTCCTGGCTCCCCACTCTGTAAAGTTCCGGAGAGGTCTACTACACTGGACATGTGCGGGAGGTATGTCGGAGGGGCTCGGTTAAGGATACATCCGTTGCAGAGCGTTCCAGAACCGTCTCAGCGTGTTCGGGAACGCTCTGAGAAGAGCGCGGCGCCCGCGACATCTTCCAGAGCCGCCAGATCTCAGAGATCTTCGACTCGTCCTCACCCGAGCTTCCCCTCGTCCTGGCTTCGTCTTCATGGGTGGGGTGCCGGATGCGGCGCCGGCGCGCCCACCGTGCCCTTCGGCGCCCGGCTCCTCGGCTGAGCCTCGTCGGGAAGGGGAGCGGGCTCGCCGCACAGGAGTCGCTGCGGAGCTGGCGGCAGGGCTTCCTCGAGGAGTGCACGGCGAGGACCGGGGAGGCCAAACGATCCCGATACGGTCGGACTGAGGCATAAGATCGAGGTCGGTTCTGGGAGGGTGGCCTTTAGGTTCTCCGTGCTTGTTGGATCTCATTCTGCAGGCTGGGTGAGCGCACCCTTAAATGCTCTTCAGTTTGGGCCGGCGGAGGGTCTCACGTTCTTGAAGGATGTTCTTCTGGCCTGGGTCCGACAGTGCTGGTGCTCCCCAGACCTCCCTCTCTCGGGATGCGTGCGTTCTGGCTATCGCCTCGAGGCGAATCCAGCCGTGGCGACGAGAGCCTCCCACGGGAGGCCCTCCAGAGGCGAACGCCAGGGACGGCAGCAGCAGCAGCAGGAGGGGGGAGGAGGAGGAGGAGGAGGAGGAGAGGAGGAGAGGAGGGGGAGGAGGAGGAGGAGAGGAGGAGGGAGGAGGTGAGGGAGGAGGAGGAGGAGGAGGAGGAGGAGGAGGAGGAGGAGCGGCACCTCCTTCTCTCCGCTGGAGGACGCCCCGCGTGCGGGTCATTGCCGTCTCGGACAGGATCGGGTACACGGACCCGGGCGGCACAGAGTACTCGACCTGCGCGACCGCGGAGTCGCTGCGGCGCCAGGGCGGGGGGCTCCTCGGGGTGCTCGGGCTGGGCATCGCGCGGCTCCGGAGCCGGCGCGCGACGGCCTTCTGGAGGTGGGCCGCGGAGCACTACCTGGGGAGGTCGCTGCCCGAGGAGATGCTCCGCGACGTCACGACGATCATCCCCAAGTTCTCCTCCCTCATGATCCTCCTCCTCCTCGAGCAGCTGCGCCGCGAGAGGGGCGACACCCTCGTGCTGTACGTGGACGCCTTCGACGTGCTCTTCCAGCGGAACCTGAGCGAGCTGCCCGCGGAGTACTGCGCCCAGAGCCCGCGGCCGTGCGGCTGCCCCGCGGGTGCCCCCGGGAGGGCGCCCAGGCAGGCTCCCCGGGGCCGAGCTCGGGGGCGCCCAGGAGGGGGCCGAGGGCCAGGGCTGCGTCGACGAAGGGGGTTCCTTGGCATCGCTCGGACGTGTGCACTCCTTCTCGGCGGGGACCATCGAGGAGCATTTTTGGGCCATCCTGCGAAAAGTTCGAAACATGCGCGGGGAGAATGGACGTCCGAGCGATGGGCGAGGTTCGAGGTGCAAGGGTTTCGAGAATGCGTGGGGTCGGCTCTGGGCCTCGGGAGATGCTCTCTGGCAGCTGCGCCTCGCCGAGAGCGCTCCGGGGATGCCCGGATCTTCCCGCACGGCCGCCGGTGGGGGCTTCAGAGACGGGGGTCAATGTAAACGGGGGTCAGCCAGAACGCTGGATCTTCTACACGGTCCCCCCCTCCTCCTCCTCCTCCTCCTCCTCCTCCTCCTCCTCCTCCTCCTCCTCCTCCTCCTCCTCCTCCTCCTCCTCCTTCTCGAGGTGACGTGCGGGCTGCATGCTGCGGCGAACAATCTTCCTCCTCCTCCTCCTCCTCCTCCGCCAGATCTGGTAGGACCCTGTAGGGCCAGGGGTGCACTGACCAGGGTTGGGGTGCAGGACCCTGCAAGATCCCGCAGGATTCTGCAGCATCCTGCAAGGCCTCACTGGCCCGGGTCTGGCTCGACCCGGGTCAACAGATTCTTGGGCAGGGGCGCCGCGGAGCTCTACGAGCACAGGGGGGGCGCAAGCGCGGGCGCCGGCACAGACCGGGCTTCGGCGCTCGCAGGAGGAGGAGGAGGAGGAGGAGGAGGAGGAGGAGGAGGAGGAGGAGGAGGAGGAGGAGGAGGAGGAGGAGGAGGAGGAGGAGGAGGAGGAGGAGGAGGAGGTTTTCGGACGCTGGGGTCGGCCCTGGGCCTCCTCGGGGGATGCTCTCCTGCAGCTGCGCCTCGCCGAGGGCGCGCTGCCGGGGCTGCCCGCATCTCCCCGGAACGGCCGCCAGAGGCCCGCGGCGTGAGCCGAGAGCCATCAGGCGTCGAGGGGGGTGAGGATGAGGGGTTGGCATCTTCTTCCGACTCCGGCTCCCGACTCTCCGACTCCAGCGCCTGTCTTTCCTCTCTCTGGCTCCGGCTCTCATCTCTCCGACCCCAGCCCCACTTGTCATATATCCGACTATGAGACGTTCGAGTAATGCCGGCGCCCCGGCGCCACCGCCTAGCCCCGCGCAGGGCCGTCCTCCCTGGGACGACACAGGCGCAGCCTCAGCCTCAGCCCCCTGGAACCTGTGCCGGTGGACCCTGCGCTAGGGCGTACTCCCCAGCCCAGCACCCAGCGGTTACAGCTTTTGGCGGTTGGCAGTCTGAAGCCTGGACTCCACTCTCACGTCGCTTGCGCTGCCTAGCCGTCCCCTGCCTGGGCGTCGTCACTGTCTGCAGCTTGCTTTGCCGCGTACGGGGCATCGGCAGCGCCCGTGGATGCACCGACGCCGCGGCGCGGCTGCTGCCACGGTCCCCGCTGCCGCTGCTGGCCGCGCCAGCGCGCTGGGGGCAGAATTCTTCCACATCTGAGTGCCCTCCTCCCTCCCTTTGCGGCCGCCTTGTCTGTCTTGCCCCCCGCTCTCGCACGCTGGCCAATTCGCCATTCGGTCTCCCCGAATCGCCACTCGCTGGTGCGGACAGCCTCAGCCTCGCCGCCGACGGAAAGTGTGTGTGTGTGTGTGTGTGTGTTCACGTGTGTTCATGTGTGTTCGTGTGTGTGTGTGTGTGTGTGTGTGTGTGTGTAAGTGTGTGTGTGTGTGTGTGTGTGTGTGTGTGTAAGTGTGTGTGTGTAATCGTGTATGTATGCGTGTGTGTGTGTGTGTGTGTCTGGATATCATGGCCGGGGCCGTGATATCTCTCAGGCTTCTTGCCGTCGTCCTGTAGATCGAGAAGCGGCCCTGGAGGGTGACGCCTACCTGCTGCTAGGAGAGCAATGTCTGGGGCCAGCGGCTCATGCCGTTCTCGCTTTCTAGCCACAAGCATCTACAGACACCTTGGATGCCGCTGCGTGTGTGTACACAATTCGTGGCGGATGCGTCTGCAGACAGAATGGCCGTTGCGCTCGGCGCGTTACAGGGTCGGAGAAAAGGTAGATCCGTCTCTGGCATGTTCCTGTTCTAGAACAGGCCCCACGTAACCAGACATCTGGCGTCTCGAGCCCCCCGACCACTCGACCACTTCCCTGGGACTGGCTTTGTATCCCCAGTCGTTTTCTGACAGCCCCGAGGCCGGGAATAAGGGCCACGATGGGGAATCGAAGAAACAAAAACGCTTCGATTTTTTCGAGGCGCAAGATGTCTGGGCATGGTGCTCCAAGATCTAGGTCAGATTTGAGCTAATGGGTCCTTTGCAAAAAGGGTTTCAAACATGTGCGCAATACTTCGTGCCATGTGATCGTTTTTACCTAACAGCGTTTGCTGATAGGTTTCTAGTAGGGTCAAAAAAGAGCATCATGACTCCTCAGGGGGGTCTGGGCGGGTGCCGGGGAGGAGAACCGGGAATCGTTTTTCGCAACAGTCACACACTTCGTGCTCTTCGACCTCCCAGAACTCCATTCCCGGGCCACATTCTGGAGAACCGGGAACAGAGCCGGGCTCGCTTTTCGCCAACAGTCACACACTTCGTGCTCTTCGACCTCCCAGAACTCCATTCCCGGGCCACATTCTGGAGAACCGGGAACAGAGCCGGGCTCGTTTTTCGTCAACAGTTACACACTTCGTGCTCTTCGACCTCCCAGAACTCCATTCCCGGGCTACATTTTGAGTGCCCCACTTCGTGCTCTTCGAGTTCCCAGAACTCCATTCCCGGGCCACAGTTTGGATGCCCGGAGCCAACTGTAGGCCACTTCGTGCTCTTCGATTTCCCAGAACTCCATTCCCGGGCCACATTTTGGATGCCCGGAGCCAACTGTAGGCCACTTCGTGCTCTTCAAGTTCCCAGAACTCCATTCCTGGGCATGATTTTGAATGCCCGGAGCCAACTGTAGGCCACCTCGTGTTCTTCTAGTTCCCAGAACTCCATTCCTGGGCCACATTTTGAATGCTGAGGCAGGCTGATGCTGCGGCCGAGGCAGGCCTGAGCTGAGGCCTCCTGAGGCTGAGGCCGAGGCTGAAGGCAGACTGAGGCTGAGGCTGAAGCAGAACTGAAGTCTGAGCTGAGGCAGGCCTGAGGCTGAGGGCTGAAGCAGGCCACATTTTGATGCTGAGGCAGGCTGAGGCTGAGGCTGAGGCTGAAGCAGGCTGAGGCTGAGGCAGGCTGACGCCGAGGCTGAAGGCAGACTGAGGCTGAGGCTGAAGCAGGCTGAGGCTGAGGCTGAGGCAGGCTGAGGCTGAGGCAGGCTGAGGCTGAGGCTGAGGCAGGCTGAGGCTGAGGCTGTGACTGCGACTGCCGTTGCCGCTGCGACTGTCATCGCGAATGCGACTACGACTGCGAGAACATCAGAATTCTACAACTGGATTTTCATCTGAATCTTAAGGGGAATGCTTTCAGATATGCTTCTACATATCGCTGTTAGGTTGCTTTGCCGGGATAATTTTATTCTTTGTTTTGCTGGTCGACGCGGGCCCTCGCACCCCCCCTCTTGGCGCCTGTTTCGAGCAGGTGGAGTCCCTCCCCCATGGGACGCACGGTTGCATACAGTCGCACTAAGCAGAGGTCCGGAGCCAGATCCCCCCTCCCCCCTCTTCCGCCCAATGTCGAAGCGCCGAATAATGAAAAGTTCCCCATCGTTCGTGCTGGATGCTGGCAGAATGCGTGGCATTTGGCTTCGCTTCCGCTCGTTCCGAATCGTGTTCCCGTTGCAGCGCTGGCCTCATTGCTTCCGCTCGTTCCTAATCGTGCTCCTGCTGCAGCGCTGGCGTCATTATTTCCAATGCCATGCCGCGGCATGGTTTTCGGTCCTTCCAAATAGGCCCCAAAATCTAGAAAATGCCCCCCCTAAAAACCATCAGACGTGATTACACATTCGGTGTCGATTCGTTGTTTTTTTGGGCCGCAGAAGCCCCCCACTTTTGGGCGTCGCCACGCCATGCTATGTCATGCTACGCGTTGATCTTGGACATCGTGCTATGCCATGTCATGCTATGCCACGCTGCGACATCCGACTGTGCGAATAGAGAGGGGATCTACGCCATGGTAAGGGATGGGAGGGGTAGGACGTCAGATATGACGCGAGCGCACCTAGCTTGTCCTCCTCCCCCTCCTCCTCCTCCTCCTCCTCCTCCTCCCTCCTCGTTCCCCTCCTCCTCCTCCTCCTCCTCCTCCTCCTCCTCCTTCTCCTTCTCCTCCTCCTCCCCCTCCTCCTTCTCCTCCTCCTCCTCCTCCTCCTCCTCCTCCTCCATTCTCTTTCCTTATAGATGACTTCTCCGTGTCGCACCCCGAGGCCAGTTTTTAGGGCGGGCCGGGCATTTCGCATAACACTTCCTCACTATTTGTGATTCTTAAACTTAAGAAGTGATAGCAGTTTCACAGATGGGGGGCGGGTGCTTCTCAACATGTGGCTCTCGCCTTAGCGCCGCTCACACTCGTTTTCAACATTTGCAAGAGTTCCACGGATTCAGGGCGGGTGGTTTCCAAAATGTGGCTCTCGCCTCAGCGCCGCGCACATTCGTATTCAAAATGCGCAAGAGTTTCAAGGATTGAGAGCGGGCGGTTTTCAACATGTGGACTCGCCTCAGCGCCGCGCACATTCGTTTTTCAAATTTGCAGGAATTTCACGGATTGAAGGCGTGTGGTTTACAACATGTGGATTTGCCTTAGCGCCGCGTCGCACATTCGTTTTCAAAATTAGCAAGAGTTTCACGGATGGAGGGCGGGTGGTTTTCAAATGTGGTTCTTGCCTTAGCGCTGCGCACATTCGTTTTCAACATTTGCAAGAGTTCCACGGATTGAGGGTGGGTGGTTTTCAACATGTGGCTCTCGCCTCAGCGCCGCGCACACTCG